TCAGGCATAGCACAGAACCTCAGAGGCCAGGTGATGTAGAGGACATGTTTGGTTCCTTCTAAGGATCTTGACTATATCTGCACTCTTCTTTACCTGGTATGAAAGTGGAAAAGGAACTAATTTCTCCCTTTTTCCTTATCTTGTTTCTATGTTAGTCTCACCTGATCCCATCAGAATTTGAAAGCGTCAGGAAAACATGGCAGCCCCTTGGCATAGAAACTGAGGCTCAGAGAGGAACCCTACCCTGGATGGTTACTAGGAAAACGAGTCTTGACATAACACCCCGGGATCTCCCATCCTGTGACCCTGTGCTCTACCCTACCCGAGGTGAGTAGCATCAAGGTGGGATGAGTCCACCAGCTCAGACCAGCCATGTGGTCTCCAGGGCGGTCAGAATTGCCTTCCCAGGTGCAGACAGCCCCCTCCTCTCTGGCCAGTGACATCATGTTGGCCTAAGCATTGTGGCCTGAGTCCAGCTGTGAGCTTGGATCACACTGTGCAGCTTTGCTGCTCAGTCCACCTTCCGTCAGCTGTTGGAGGTGGGAAGAGGGACATTTTTCAGGGGAGCAGAACACTTTACTTAGGAATGCAGCCCCAGTACATCCAGGAAAGACACGAAGGAAGAGATGCACAGGGGGAGGTCTGAGAAGGTTGCTAAGCAGAGCTTTCTTGTCCTGAGGAAGTGTGCCACCCTCCTGAGAGCAGATGTTCTGCCATCCAGGAAGCCCCATGAGCCTCTGGGTTACAGGCTCTTCTTGGCCTCACCATGGGGAATTCATAGATGACATCCTACTCTTCGGTCTCACTTCATCTGGTCAGTTCCTGGTCATTAGGCTGAGGTGTGGGCCATCATGAAAGAAAACAGAACAATGGCCAAATTGCATTCTGCAAGTTGGTTGCACTTCTCACCTGCTAGAGGACCCTGAGCCTACGCCAAGGGTCAATCAGGTGCACCAGTGAGCCTCAAGGGTCAGGGGAAACAGAAGTCTGACTCTTCTCGGACACTCCATTACGACTGGGCGCACCACTGGAGAACCAATTACTAACCAGAATGGACTTTAGCTCCTTAACTCTCTTTGCTTCCTTGTGTGTCTCACATGTGATACCATCTCATCCTGGGATAGGATGGTGGCCCCTCAGAGAAGACTCTGTGACTCCGAGAGGTGGCCCGATCTGGACTGTTATCCACTACACAAGAAAAACACTGTAAAACTGAAACAAGACCCATCCCATGCCCAGTAAACAGTATTTTTATCTGGAATATACACCAGAAAACCTCATCCTGTGATCAGGTAGATGTAATCATAATGGCTTCCTTGACTGAAACGGCTCTTCCTTCTCCAGCTCCACTTAGTCCCCAGGCCCCATCTGCTAATGATTGGACGCCTCCTTTACTCTCCCACGAGGGCTGTGCAAAGTAAGGCCATTCTGGACTCTCTTGTGTTCCAACGTTTCTCTGCACCCTCCACTCCCCAGACAGGCTGCGAGCTCAGGTCCATTAGTTCTCAGTCCCATAGGAGGCTTCTCCACTTATACTCCCTCTCCCTGTATTTATACCCCATGTACCACTTTCATTTCAGTAGAGTCAACCAAGATTCTCTGGTCCTGGAGACAGACCTCAAAGGTATAGAAGAAACCCAGGGAAGTCTTGGCCAGGGACTGACTAGCACAGGACTTAGGATGTACTGTGCTGTGTTGGGCCCTGGAGGTAAAGTCTCCAACAGGGGTTAGAAGACTAACACCGAGGTGAAGATCAAGTGACCTAGAGCAGGTAAGTAGCAGAGTTCCTGGGAGGATGGTCCAGCCAAGAGAAAGTGAGCCCTATCTCTGTTTGTTTGGGTAGGAGAGCAGGTGGTAACAGCAGGTGCGTTAAAAGTTGGTAACTCAGGTGAGCATTCCTGCTCTTTCAGGTGCAACCTGGTAAGCTAAGGAGCTTCCCCCAGACCTTGTCTTCTAAATAACGCAGGTAAAAAAATCCCACCTCACAGTGCTAGAGACAAGACTGTTTCTACTAGTTAAGTGCCTGGCACATACACAGTATCAGTCGGCTCTGGCAGAAGGTACAGGGGAGGCCACCCTGGTCTGAGGAACAAAATTTGTGGAGGTCTCACCCTCAGATGGGGCATGAGGGCATCAGTTATCCTCAATCCTGCAAGAGGACCTTATTAATGTTCCACTCTGTGGTCTCCATCATCTACGGAAAACTAACATCAAAATCAGGAAGGACTAGAACGTTTCCCTCTTGCCAAGGCATAAGAAGCAGTCAGTGTGTTTCCAGGGGTTCAAGAAAACTAATGTCTAGCATGAAGGATGGTTATGTCCCTTCCTGACATCCCTAAAGCCTTCTTCCTCATTGGTTATCTGGGAAGGCACATAAGAAGAGTCAGGAATTTGCAAAGAAGTGGGTTGGGAGTGAAAGGAGAAGCGTAAGCTTCAAGGTCAGAGCCTTTCATCCAAGGAGTCCAAACTGGTATGAGGATGGAGGGATCCACAGGACTGAGAAGTGTCTCTGTCCTCTGTATGTCGGTCTGCCAGGCATGCAACAAATAGCTCTGACATCAGTACAACAGAGCATGGACACAGCTGATTCTTATGCTGTGTGGCCTCCCCTTGCGAAGAGAGACTTCAAAGGAGCTGAGCTACAGTAGAGCACTAAACCTAGAGGGTCGCTCAAGTCTTAATAAGTTCCAAGTATATGTCAAGCTGACACAGGAGTGTTTGTGATCCATACCCCAATTCAACCAGGCCTTCTGAGAAGCCAGACAGTAAAAAAGAACTGTGATGACTCTTGACAAGATCTGTGCACCATTATTAGGGAATATTCGCTATTATTACAGATTCTCACAGATCATTATTTCATTTCTGTGGAGCTCACAGATAGTCTCTTCTTTACACTCCCTCTGGTCTTGTATGCATACAATCCTCCCCTTTTTCTTGTCAGTGAGAGCTCGGGAGCCGAAGTACTTTTCTCTGCTTACTTTCTTGATCCCAAATGTTCTCTTCTGCAGTCTAGATTCCCTGAGAACCCCAGTTCCTCTCGGAACTTTACCTGAATGGTCTCTGAGTCTGCCCTGCACTTCCTCAAGGAATGTGCCATGCAGATTTCCCTCTTCCCTAAGTAGCTTTCTTTGTACACACATGTTCTTTGTTATGGTTGTTGTTAGATGCCCTAGAGTTGGGTGGGAGCCATAGTGACCCTATGAACAACAGATCTAACCTTGTCCTATCCTATGCCATCCTCACAATCTCTGACTTACTGAACTCCTTGCTGCAGCCACTGCGTAAACCCATCTGGTCTTCTTCCCTTTCGTTGACCATCTTTGCACGTATGATGTCCCTCTCCATTGAGTAGACTCTTTTAGCAACACTCCTGAAGGATGTTAGACAGAGTCTTATCATCCTTGCCTCCAGAAAGCACTATAGCGGCACTTTCTCCAAGACATATCTTCATTCTTTTGACAGTCCGTGGGATATTCAGTACTCTTCTCCAACACCACAACTCAAAGGCACCAATTCTTCTGTCCAGCTCGTAAGTGATTGAAAAGATCATGGCCTAAATTAGCCACACGTTACTCCTCGAACTGACATTATTGCTTCTCATTCATTTGGAGAGGTCCCTGACTGCAGACTTTCCCAGTCCAATCCATCTCCTGATCTCCTGACTGCTAGTACCAAGGATATATTGATTGTGGATCCAAATAAGACGAAGTTGTTGATAGGTTCAATCTTTTCCTGTATTATTATGTTGACTAATTGGTCCAGTGATGAAAACTTTTCTTGACATTAAGAGGCAATACATATTGAAACTTTGATAATCTTTGATCTTCTGCAACAAACACTTCAAGTCCTCCTCACTTTAAGCAAGCAAGATTGTGTTATCTGCATAACATACCTTATTCATGAGTCTTCCTCTGATCCTGATGCCACACTCTTATTACTAGAGTCCAACGTCTCGAATAACTTGATCAGCATACAAATTGAATGCTGTTGTTGTTAGGCGCCATCAAGTTGAGTTCTACTCATAGTGACCCTATGAACAACAGGCCTGAATCCAGTCATATCCTGTATCATATTCTGGCCCACTTGAGCCCATTGCTCTAGTCACTGAGTTAACCCATCTGCTTGGGAGGTTTCCTCTGTTTTACTGCCCATGGAACCCAATTTGCATTTCTTAAAATTTTCAACTACGTGATGTTCTTTCGCTCTGATCAGAATTGTGATATTATTCATTCTACTCTTTGCTCTTGGTAACTAATTTTTAAAAGAGTACACCACTGAACAATGATTTTTTTAAGATTGTAAGAGAAAAAAATTAATATTTGCCAACATGAAAATAAAACATATAAAATAAAATAAAAGCCAACAATTCTTCATAATTTGAGAAATAATTAGAAGACTAAAAATAAAAGACCTGGTTTTGATTGTTTTTGGTCAAACATTCTTCTAAGTGGTATAGACCTGGTGTGCCCACTTGCTGTACAGAGGTAACTCGTGGTTGCTGTGATGCTAAACACTGTGACACTGATGTGTCAAATGCAATAATGGTTACCCATGGTGGACAGTGTTTGGTGGAGCTCCCAGAGTAAAGTAAAACAAGCTGGGAATCAGGAGTGACATCCACTTCCGAAATAGCTTGTCTCTGGAAACCCTATGAACCTGGAGAGAGGATGAAAGCTATACAAGTATTCAGGTCTTTCGTTCATAGGGTAACTATGAGTTGTCTCTGACTCAACAGCACTTTACAACAACAACAAAAATAAAAGAGTATCTCTAACATGATGAAAGGTCTCTACAAAGCCCAAATCTGTAACAATGGGTGTGGTGGCAGAGGCAGGCTGAATGCAGGCAGGGCTGTAGGCATGGTGCGCTTCTCCTGGTCAGGCTCAGCTACTGAAAGTACCTGTACTGAGAGGAACAAAGGAGATAACTTGGGTAGATTCAGAAACAGCCTGGGTCATGCAATGTAGATACTCATGATGGTTTGTATTTCTTCCATAGGGATGACCTCAGTGCAGAATAGAAACAGTCCAGACTCACCCCTAAACAGCACCTCAGTCACGTTCCTAGTTCTCCAGATCCTGGCCTTTCTCATCTCCCTGTGTGGGATGGTGGGCAATGGTGTGGTGGTCTGGTTGCTGGCCTTCCGCGTGCAGAGGAACCCCTTCTCTGTCTACGTCCTCAACCTGGCGGTGGCTGACTTCCTCTTCCTCCTCTGCCTGGCACTTATGATATATACAATGGACTTCCTCCAGAACAGAGAAATGCACTATGTCTTCTACTCCGTGACATACTTTGCATACATTACAAGCCTGAGCCTGCTGACCGTCATCAGCGTCCAGCGCTGTCTCTCCGTCCTCTTCCCCATCTGGTGCAAGGTCCACAGGCCCCGACACCTGTCCACCGTGGTGTGCACTCTGGTCTGGGGGCTGGCCCTTCTGATGATCACACTGCTCATTTATTTCTTATACACAGAGGTATATGGAGATGATCAAGATTATGAAAATATGTTAACCTTCCTGATCATTCTCTTGCTGGGGCTCTTCATGCCCATTATGATCCTCTCCAGCGTGGTCATCTTTATACAGATCCAGAGAAGACCCCGCGCGTGGCGCCAGCGGTCCTCGAGGCTGTTCGTAATCATTCTGGTCTCAGTCCTGGTTTTCCTGGTCTGCGCTCTTCCCCTTGGCATCTTCTGGACCCTGACGCCCTTGTTCAAAGTACAGGAGTATGAGTATCATCTGTTTAAGAATTTGACAAGACTCACCTCATCCCTGAGCAGTAGTGCTAACCCCTTAATCTACTTCCTAGTGGGTAGAGGGAGGAAGAGCAGCTTGTGGGAGCCCCTGAGGGCTGTACTTAGCAGGGCATTGCAGGAGGAGCCCGAGCTGGGGGGCAAAGAGATGCCTTCCACAAATACCAATGAGGTGGAGTCCACAAACCATCCATGCACGGTTTGAATTCTGCCCAGGTGAATTCTGACCCAGATTAGTATGTAAGAAGCTAGCTGCTTGTCTCTTCCTGCATTGGTTCTCATGTGAACAAAAGCTAGTGGCCAAGGCTTTGGAATAATTTGATTGAGAAGCATCGCTTACACCTGTGTGACTCCTTATGCCTCTTACTCTCAGAGAGGTTCAGGCCCAACGCACACAACTGAGGAATGGAAGACGTAATCCCTGTCATGTGACTATCAAGTCACTCACTGGAGAAGGCAAACATTCTTGTGCCCAAAGCAGTGACTATGTGACAAACTGGTGCAGAGAGCTGGGAACAACAGAGACGTTTTTCTTTGGGGAGAAGTGGTCACAAAATTATTACCACTGCCTACTTCTTCTACGCCATCCCTTCCTCCATCTCACTCCACCTTCGTTCTGATGGCATCGATGTGATCGCTAGTATGGGGGGACTTGGTTAAGGATCACAGGAGTTGGAGATTCTTGTGACAAGAATGAGTGGGGTATATATCCAAAGTTGACACCAGTTTCTTGTACAGTTAGGCTCTGGCTGATAATCTCAATTTGGAGTGGTTTCCAGAAACGCTCTTTCCATTCTCGTCAAAGTACAGGGCTGCAAGCTGTCACAAGATAGGAACATGTCCTACGTCTTACAGTGTGAGTCACTGCAAGTATATGGATAGTGAGCAGTGGAGGCAGGACAGTGGAAGGAAACTGGAAATACTGAACTCAACGCTAGCCGGAGAAGAACCCTTCCAGCCCTCAGATGTGTGGACAGTTGAGTCTCCTCGGGGTCAAGATTGCACAGAACTTTTCACATCCTACGAATATACAAGAGCAGGCCACATGGAGGGTAAAATATGTACGTGATTTTTTATTTTAGATAGAGATGTGGAAAATATAGTCATCTCAGATTTTCTGTTTTGTAGAGACAATTCTGAGCTGACTAAAACAGCTGTATGTAAACTTGTAGGATTTAGCTTCCCAACTATGAATATTTTCAACAAATCCATTGAACAAGGCCTTACCAAATTATCTGTTATTCTCTATGAACAAATACATACAAAATTAGAGAAAATATGATAAATGTTCATTAAACAGTCAAAAAAGAATATTGCTAATACTTTATGAAGTTAATAGTATCCATTGTTTTGCAAAAAAGGAATAATTTCTTGGGTTTAGCCTCTAAGTAAACAATTGTTGTTTTAATTACTTTTCATTTGTAATCTTGTTTTTCTTTTAAGATGACCCCAGATGTTTTATACACTCTGACCCTTCTACCCCAGGACAGATATGGAGTGGCCAGCACTCTGGGCACTGTGGAGCACTGGAGCAAGCGTCTCTTAGTTAATGACCATTATGGTTTTTTCTTTCCTTTTAGTTAATGAGGGGGAAATGCTTTGAACTTAAAAGTGCTATACAATGTAAACGGACTGTGCTTTGGGGTGGGTATTTTGCGGTGTTTTTTTCTAGTGAAAATATTTCTTTTGCTCTCATCCCAGTTCCTCTGCCAGTTTATTGCTAAAGAATAGATATAAAAATATGAGCTAACTCTACTCTCTTCTTTAAAAAAATATAATATCTATCATCTATTTCAATGTACTTTGTAAAGCTTTATTCTTTTATTTTTATTTATTCCTCTTTGGTTCCTTGCTCCCTTATTCTCATCTCTGTTAACCCTTCAGGATTGAGTCTTTCTGTATATCAATCATTTTCTGATTATTTATATGAAAGGTCGTTTATCATAATCATTCTTTTGTGACTTATATCGGTTTGCATAGTTTGTCCTAATTTCAATGTTGTACGTTACCGTGTTCATTCTTGACTGTATTTTAGTGATGCATAGTGCTTCCCTACGTGAATGCACCACAGATTCTTTACCCACTAGTCCTCTGGTTGGTACTTGAGCCGTATCCAACTCTTTGGTATTAAAAATAGTGCTGCCAATAAAGTGGTTCTTGATCCTTTGCTGATTTGTCCTTTGTTACTTTTTAAAAAACTACTTAATTGTAAATGTAATTAATGAGTTCAGTGAGGTCATTGCAACAGAACACCAAAACCATCAGAAAAATAGGGAGTGTCTTAGTGGGACTGCTGGTATCAGATTAATATGATATCTCTTATTCTAGGACCCCCTGAATCTAGTTTGAAATTCTGACAATTTCATCATCTACAACTTTAATTCCTTTTTTCATTGTCTGCAGCTAGATATTGCAAAAGTTAAAAAAAAAAAGACAAAACTTTTGAAGGGAAAGTCTGTGGTTTCCCCATGAGAGTAGGGAATCTAATGAGAAACCAAAGCTTATGTCTACAATCTAGATACTTCCATTTTGTTGCTTAGTTGTTCGTGGTTTTCTTTTTAATGAAGAGATGGATTAAAACACCTAATAAAAAGATACTTTACTTAGGAAAAAATAGATCCATAAAATCCTCTTGCTGTTTAGATAAAGGCCAGCATAAATGGGGTGGAATCTGGTTGTCAAGCAGGCGGCTTAGCCAACGACACACTGGTCAGGAGGGGTTGTGGAACAACAGTTCTGAACCTTACCGTCTATTCCTCCGTCTTGACCTTCTCTGATATGTTTGAGCCCGTTATTTCAGTTACTGTGTCAATCCATCTCATTTGGGGTCTTCCTTCCTCTCTTTCTCTGACCCTCTGCTTTTCCCACCATGATGTCTTTTTCTGAGGACATCATGACAACAGTCTAAAATATACAAGATGAAGTTGACCATCCTCGCGTCAATGGTGGACCCTGGTTGCCCTTGGAGGAAGTGCAAACAGATTTGTTTGTTTTTTTGGCGACCCATGAAATACCCAGTTCTCTTCTCCACAACTCTAAAGCAGCAATCCTTCTTCTGTCACCCTTATTCATCGTCAACTTTCAGTTGCAGAGGAAGCAACTGAAAACACCACCACTTGGAACGTGTCTTTATACTTAG